TCGAAATTTTCATCTGAATGCCTGTTATTATTGTTATTATTATTATTATTATTATTATTATTACTAATGTAAGTGTTGCAATTTTTGCAATTATTGCCAGAATAGAGTACAACACACTTATAAGGGTGCCAACGGCCGATTTTCAGGTTTAACTTTCAATTTTCGAAAATTTTCGGGCGTCTTCCGACAACTACAATATTGAAGATAGATTTTCCTTGAAATTAAATTTGTTCTCTATAGCGAGTTATTTCATTAAGATCATGTACAGTTTTATAAAAATTGTAGTAGTTTTGGCGCAATATTGCGTGTAATTAGTACAATTTCCAAAAATTACAAAAACATGAGTTTCTTAAAAACTGCTTCAAATCTTTTCTTTAAACTCTTGATAGGGATAGTGCTAAATGAACTTTACAAGATGACATAAACACCATATTGCTCTATTGTTTTGTTTCAAAAATGACAAACATGTTTTGGCTTGCCTCTAATGTCGTCAATTTTTATATTTGCGGCTATTTGTTCACATTATTGTATTTATAAGAATATGGGCTTTACATAGTGTCACATAGTAGCATATTTTTCGTGAAAATTAGCTCAAAACTCCGCATTTTCCGAAACACTCAAACGTTATTTTCTCAAAAGTGGCTCCAATTTTTTTTCAAACATTTCGGACAGATAATGGTAATTGCATTCTTTAATATGACGTAAAGAAAGTTTTAGGTGTATATTTTGGTTTTATTACAAATGTTAATTTATCTGAAAGCTCTCTCACTCCGTTGATATGCAACGTTTTCAGCAATTTGTAAGCACTATTGTATTTGTAAGTTAAAGCATTTCGCATGACTTCAAATGATGTTTTTCGAAAACTCAAGAAGTTTCTGTAAAAAGAGCTTCAAATTTGGAATTTACAGTAGCGCAAAAACGCCAGGTTTCAAAAAACGGTTCCTAATTTGTGAAAGAAAATTGCCATTAAGACGAGTTTTTACTGGTATTTAATATTCTTAAAATAATATTTACACTATACTATTAGGAAACCGAAAAATTAACAAAATTTCAAGAAAAGGTATTTTGGGCGGCACTAGATGGCAGCAGGCAAGACTATATGGCAATTTCGAATAACTAGCCGAGACCATAGGAAATAGAAAACTAATATGGAAAAGTCTGTGCCATTCTGTAGCACCACTAGTTACAGGCGTTTTTGGTACATCTGGATTACCGCAGTTTGAGAACCCTTGGCTTACTCCTAGAACACTATTTCGGAGCTAATAGCAGCTGCTGAGACTAAACGTTGATGGTTTCTGTCTATGCTTGAGCTTCACATAATGAACCATATAGTTCAGTATTAGTTCACTTTTATATGATTTGTGAAGTTTACTGTTGTAATCAAGAAACCCTCGTTTGCTGAAGTATACATTTTTCTTCGAAATGTCATCGTCTGTTCGTAACTGTCTCTTTGTTCATCTTTTTGTCAGCTTTAGACATCAAACTTGGGGGTATTTTCATCAGATAATCGACGAGGCATGATACGCGTATGTCTTCGAGAGACCTTTGTTATATACATTTATACATATGACGCTCATTTTTCTATTATCTCAAACAATACAGCAGTCACCAACCAGTCGACGAATGTTAGTATCCATTAAAAAAATAACTCTAGTTTCTCTCATATCAATTCCGCCCGTTCGCCCCGTTCGCCTCGTTCGCTCGTTCGTCCATCTACCCGCCCGTCTTCCCTCAAAAAAAATTGGACACCTACGATTTTACCACATTTCCTTTCATTTAAAAGAAGATATTAAATTTATCGTAATTGTTGTTGTGAATAATGAAAGACACACATTTTATACGTTGGAACAACATGCAAGTTGAATTTTCACTTTAAAAAGTATTAAATTATTCATTATTATTTCACATTATTCAATGAGAGACAGTAGTAGCTACTGATTTTTTTACCGTTATAGCCGTTCTTGAATCAACCGTGGGAAAAGTTACATCTGCTTTCGCCCAATAGTTCGTTGACAAAAATGTTACATAAACGTCTGTCCGAATATTTAATTGATATGCAATTTCCGTTATTGGAAATTCTAATGCAATTTCTTCGTTGATGTAAAAACAAAAAAAAACAACAAAAAAACGCATTTTGCGATGTACGAGTATTTAAAGCTAAAAGTATAGTAAAATTATTACTAGTATAATATTTTATTGTTTTAACAGGCTCCTAACGTGTTCAACGTGAGTATGCTGAGTACTATCCGATTATTTTTGAGTGAGTGTACATGTGTACCGAAACGTTTACTACCGGAGCATTCGCTCCCCATTAGCGTCTGCTAACTACCGAACATGAGCCTGGCGCTCTTACCTGCAACCTTGCGGCCTCCCACGCACACACGCGTTCCTACGACAAAAGTGTGCAATGCTCCCCTTTTGCCGGGGCTACCCACTTATACAGGCTCGCTGACCACGTCGCCACTCCCTGTTGCAACTGCGTGGTCTTGCGACACATCTTGGCACCATCCCTCAGGGCCTGCACTCTCAGGCTCGGACTCCGGTGGACGAAGGAGGGGGGTGGCAGGCAAACTAACAAACTGACGGAGAGGTGGACGGCAGGCCGACGGACGGACGAAGTAACAAACTGACGGAAAGACAGACGGCAGGCCAATGGAGAAAGGGGCATACGGATTGCAAGGTAGGCAGGCAGACTAATTGGCAAAGTGGTGGATTAGCAGACTGACCTAGGGGCCTAGTGATTGACTAACGGACCGACTTGATCAATTAATAAGTGATTCCGGGCGCGTCAACAACTGCGGTCATTAGGCCGTAAGTGTAGTGCATGATTTTCTCCTCGGAACGTGGCGGCGATCTTCCCCCGCTATGTGCCGAGATCCGACGCCTACGTACCGTCGGCTAGCGGGTTTTTCCCTACCAGGTATCTCCCACCAGCGGAGCACCGCCCCAGCCAGGTCAAGCTGTACGCTTCCGACGCTTCTCGGCATGTGTGATAGTGATGCAAGTTGTGTTTAAGTAAGAGCTGAGGATAAGACAAGGACGAGGAAGGATAGATCGTGCCTAGTCTGTGGCCCGTTTGTTGTCCAGGTTCCTTGAGCCCCCACCCCCCATAGCAATTTTCTTCAATATTTTTATTAACGTTCGTATCAACTTAAAGCTTCTAGCTTCCACCATAACCGCAGCAGGCATCTATGACTATCAAGAATGCAACGTTGGTGCTTCGCAGTTCCGAAGGTCAATCCGCTCCTCTGTTCATTATTGACTGGCTTACTCAAACGCTGCAACCTGTAACAAGGATGTTATTGTGCATTCTTTCTCACTATCTCTCTCTCTCTCTCTCTCCGAGTAGTGTTGTCTCTATGGTTGTTCTGGCTGTTCTTCATTGTCTCTCTGGCCCTGTCTCTTAGGGATGGGACTTGGATCTCGATGTTTCCAAAACATCGATATTTCTACAAAAACATAGGTAATTACACATCGATGTTTACGTTTTTAAAGTTTTGTTCGTGGATGAAAATTCCCGTAATCACAATTTAAAAATAAAATAAAAATGAAATAACTGATGGTACTGTCAGTTTGTTAAACCAAACGAACTCGGCTTGTTCTACCTTCATCGTGTGGACTATCCCTCGCCCGAGATAATCCTGATAGATCCTGGCATTTCCTTCGTCTGTCCTCGTATTTCGCACAGGGAGAGATATTTTTTAATTTTTTCAGTTAAATTTTAATTATAAATTAATATACACGGCCACTGTCAAAGAAAATTTTGTTGCGCATGAATTTAATGTTGGAGGTTTCTCTAAAAGCTCCAAAACATGGATGTCTAAAAAATCAATGGTTTTTGGTCTATGGGACATCGACGTTATAATTTTGAATATCGGTGTTTGAAAATATCGATGTTTTGTTATCGATGTTGCATCATTACTGTCATTCTCTGCCTTTGACTTTCTTTCTCACTCAAGGAAAGCCGAGAAAATAAAGGGAGAAGAAATGAGAGTGGGGTTGAGTTTGAAATGTGAAGAACTTTGAAATGCTGTATCATTACTTCAGGTGTTTTTGAAAATTAAACTGAACGAATGATGATGATGATGATGATGATGGTGATGTTACACTTTCATAAAATTTCGAATTTTTCTGTGATCCTGTATTTATGATTTCAAATGCGACAGTTCACAACATGGTAGTTGCTAATGTTTTCTCACAATTTTCACTAATTGTCAAAATTAATTATGTTTATTTGTGATATAATTAATAATATTTTTTTCATTTATCAGTTGTCTTGCAATGAATTTTTCTGTATACTTCTTCACTTCTTGAAATTCATTTCTTTATTGGTTATATCTATTGCTTGATTTATAAAATTTTATGTCCCAAATTAATTACTAATTTAAAGGAAATAGTTATATATTTATACTATAATTTAAAAATAATATTCCTGAGGTACAGGTCCATCACGTTCCTCTTGAAATCAAGCCCTGGTTATATCTATAATTATTGTGTTGAAGAAATATCTTTGCATTTTGTAATCATTGCTATTTTAATTATACTGCCCTGATGCATGCCAACTAATAGTAGAAGATTACGAGGTAAATATGTTATCTTAAAATTACTGTTTAAAAAAATATACCCTAAATTTGTCCATTTTGCTAATATTTTGTAATGGCAGTTAGTATTTATGTAATGGTAATTCATGTAATTTTTAATGGCCCTGATGAGATCCATCATGCTTTCATGAAATCTGGGGATGTAATAAAGATGTAAGTAATAATGCAAGGTTGGATTCTATTAATTGTTTGGATTCTCAATGTCATTATCAACCATTCTTTTAAATATTGGTGTCTTTTGGTGAAAGAATAACTCATTTACCAAAAGATTGACAACAATATTCCAACAAATTATTGAATCATTTATTTTTTTGTTTCTTTAAATATTGCATGTGAGTGTGTTGGGTAAAGAAATATGAAACAATTACCCTACTAATTGGAAATATATATTGTTTTTAGGTACAAGTTAAGAACAATCCAGGGATAAAACAGCATAAATGTTCATCATGGATATCAAAAATTACAGTGGAACCTGTTATGTTCTTCTACATGTTTGCTTTTGCTTTAACATCTGTAGTTGAGCAAGCATTTTACGTTGACAAGGCTTGTCGAGTAAATATGAATTATTCTGATGAAATATGTTCTAACTTGCACCTTGAAGAAAATAAGGAGTGGAATAAGAAAGTGCAGGTAACATCATAGATTTTTGATTTGTAATTTGACCTTTTCTTTGGAAGTAGAAAACTAACTAATTTATTTTTCAGATAATTGTTTCTAATTTTCATCAATATAATCAAATAGCAACTCATGCAGTCCCAATTGTTTTAGCCTTTTTCTTGGGCTCGTGGAGTGACCTACGAGGGCGCAAAATTATAATTCTGATGGGTCTTTTCGGAAAACTCTATTTTTCATGTATGATTGTTGTGAATGCCTTACAAAGTATGTTCTACTGTCTTTTACTTCACAATTTATAGAAAGGGATGTAAAAGATCCTGTTTGATCTCTTATATAGTTTTAAATGAATGACTTTTCAGAATCTTGGGCTTTGGAAATTATTCTTCCAACTGCATGTGTTCCCTCTGCTTTAACTGGAGCAGATCTTGGAATCTTTGCTGGAGTATTTGCTTACATGGCTGACATCACCACTCAAAAGAATCGAACCTTTCGAGTTGCAGTTCTGGATGTAGTTTATCTTTCCACACTACCAACTGGAGTTGCACTGGGTATTCCTAAATGTTACAAAATGGGTTACATTTTACCATTAACAAGAGGTGAACTGTAATGATTTACTGTTATATGCTATTTCTTAGGAAAATATTTATATGCAAGTGTCACTGGAAGATCATTTGCTATCATGTTTGCCATAAATGCAAGCATGCTTGCTGTTGCCATAATATTTGCATTTTGGAGGCTAGAGTGGCAGTCTACATCACAACAACAACCTTTACTGGGATCTGGAACTAATTGTTGTAGTGATTTCTTTGACAAACAACATGTGATTGACTCGGTTAAAGCTCTTTGTAGAAAACGGCCTGGGTACAGAAGAACTTATCTTATTATCATATTGTTATCAATGATGTTTTATACATTCCAAAGAGGTAATTCCAAAGAGCTATTTATTATGTAAACTATTACTATCTTAGTATTTAAATTTTATAACCTTATTTACATTTTGCAGATGAAAAACCTTTAACATTTTTATATACGCAATTACAATTTGGATGGACAACAGAAATATACAGTGATTTTAAAACATTCCAGTCATCTGCATATGTTATTGGTATGTTTGATTTTTCTATCCAAGTTTAAGATCTCAGAACAAATATTTAAAATTGTAAAAACATCGTGTAGTACTACCTTTCTGATAAATTTGAAAGTTTCCATGAACTCATTCAAAATTAGATGAACTTGTGTAAAAATATCATTGTGAAAACCATAGCTTCCTCCAAAGTTTAAAATTCTGAACATGAAACTTAATAGACTCTGAGATACAGTTGAAACATTTCCCTCATGTAGAATTGAATTGTGTTTGATATCGTTTCATCCATGAATAGAAGCTGACTTTAATACACACAAAAAACCTTATAAAGAAAGAAAGGAAAGGCAATAGTATCAAATATATTGGAAACATTGCAAACAAACTCTTTTGTTTTTTAGGCACACTTGTGGGTGTCCCAATTATGAGTCGCTGGTTGAAATTAGAAGATACTATAATAATTATGGTGGGTGCTGCAGGCCATGGATGTGCACGATTTGTTTATGCTTTTGCCAAGGTGCCATGGCTGTTTTACATAGGTGTGTATAAGTTCACTGAACTAGTGTATGCAAGTTTGAAATGTTGAATAGTGTTTTTAAATTAGTATTGTTTATAAACTATGACTTAAAGTAATCTTTGGAAGGAAATTAAGTATATTCTTTACATGTTGGGTGACACAGAACCAAATACGAATATGAACATTTCTTGTAATGGCAAACCTAGTGATATATGAAGAACAAAATCCACTCTCCCCACAACATGTAAAGAACAGCCTGAATTTAATATGAATATAAAGAGAGTAAAAAGTTGAAATCTCTGGAAAAAAATAAGTGTATTGAAATGTAGGAAATACTCCCTCTAGTAACTACAGAAAATATTGCAGTGCAATGTGTGAACATTCTTTCATTGCTTTATTAAGCTTCATTTAAATATTATTTTAATACATAACACCAATATATTACTTTCACCAATGTAATCAATATTTGAATGTCTACAAATTAATTGTCTGATTAGAATTTAAGATGTTATTTTGGGTTAGATAGAATGTATATTAAATTTATAATTTTATTTAAATAAGCCATATTTATTTACAAATAGGTGCAACAATTGCCGCTGTGGGTCCTGTTGTGGCACCAGTTTTGAGATCTATGATATCAAAAGTGGTTCCTCTTGCTGAAAGAGGTAATAAAGTAAATTTTAAGATTTATGAAATAATATTTATTAAGAATGTACACTCAACTCTGGTTATAGTGAACTTCTAGGGACTAACATGTTTGGTTTATTATGTCTGGAAATGTCAAAATTAAATAGAATTTCTCCACAATGATTGATTTTATTAACATGGAGATATAGCAAAATTCATAAACTGAACATTCAGCATGAACTGAAAATTTCAATATCTTTATTTGTCCTTAAAGAGTCAATTATTTTCAATTGTTTGATTTGTACATATTTCATTAGTAATTTCTCTAGATCCTTCTTGCTCTTTCCGTACTTGATTCTGAATTGTCCTTTGCCTCTAATTATCGTAATGCAGTCATGACACCCTTAAATGCCTTGCCACATTGGAACACTGTCTCGCTCTTTGAGGACCCTTTTACTTGCCTAATAACATATGAGATCTAATTAATTTCCAGAATTTACTTCCTACATTCAATGTAACCAAATCTTCGTATGCTTAATTGTAATGTAAGTGAAAAAGGTCCAGCGACTTAAGTTCACTATACCCAAGTTCACTATAATTGTTATTATTTACGGAGTCAACAAAATGACCGAAAATAGAGAATCTTGATGAGCATTAATTTTCAGGAAAGGTATTTGCTATTCTGGCTGTAGCAGACAATGCAGTACCTCTTTTCTCTGGTGTTCTCTACTCCCAAGTCTACAATGCCAGTATAGACACACTGCCAACTGCCATTTTTTGGGTAACATTTTGCAGCCAGGCTATAGTATTTCTTTCAGCTCTGTAAGTATTTTTTTCTTCACATTCTCGTGTTAATGACACACCCTTCACAAATATTCTTTCTCGTTATTTTGTACTTATGAAAATTTTAAAAGGGGCCCTTTAGCCTTTTGTAATAAAACATTTTATTTCCATAAATATGTTCAGGCTCTGATTTCTCCTTTTTTTGAACCTTACAATTTAGGGAATTATTCTATGAAATTTGGAGAATAGACTTTCCAGGGCATCTGCAACCCTTTAAATGGTATAACATAAAATATACTGTTATTAATATGTATTATTAAAGTTATAATGTCTTTCTCCTTGTATGTTTTTTATTTACTAATAAAATATGTCATAAGTAAATTATGAAAAATGGATCTCAGACATGTAGTTGCACTCCCTCTTGTTTTAGGCTGTCCAGGTTTAGGTAATTTTTAAAAAATTATAGAACTTCTCTTTTTGAGTATAGTATCTAAATTTATTTCATGTTTGTACTATGTAGAGAGATATTTTGTGCTAATCTAGTTAATAATATTTGCAGGAGAGTTAGAAATATTGTTTTTGTGTTTTAGATTTGTCCACTTCTGTGTTCGAAAATATCCACTGGAAATTTCAGAAAATGAAATGATATCAGAGGAGATGAGTGTTTCATCTGAGGAAACAGTTCGAGAAGTCAAGGATTAATAAGAGGTATCCAGATATCTCATTCACTCTTTACAAATAAAAAATAAATGGGAATTTTATTATTTTAATTATTTTGTTAATAAATACATTTTCAACGTGTGATCATTGTTTTTTTTATTGAAAAAATCCTTGTGAATCAGCAGATTCTCTTCCTAATTATGAATCAATTGATTCTCAATATAATTACTTAAGTATATAATGCTTCAAGGAAATGGCAAAATGGAATTTTAGATTATTATTAATCATCATCACCATGAACTGAACAGAAATTTGACTTGATTATGATTAATAATAATAATGATAATCTAACTAATTGTATTAACTACTAATGGTAATAATTAATTATAATAACTAGTGAGATGTAGCAACTGCTAAACTAACTGTAGCTTGTAAAAATGGTTCAACTATTGAGCAATATTTTAAATATGTGGATAAAACAATAAGATTAAAGAAATATGATGACAGGGAATAAAATCATTCAAACTAGCTTTCAAAACCCAACCTTGCACATTTGCTAGAAATTTAAATGTTGTTGCTGTGATGGTTTTAGACGGAAGTGTTGAGTTTTCAGGTTCATGCAGCCTAATCACTTAAGAAATGATTGCTTATTGCATATGTTTGCATTAAAAAATTGTAAGGAAAATCAGTGGCAGCGAAAGGCTGTGAAGTTAAGTGAAAAGCCAGTAGAGAAATATAAATTTACTCATGCTTATCTTAATAACTGAATACTTATTTCTTGTGTACCAAATTGATCCTTCATTGTTGTGATGACAATTGTCTCTGATGTTTTCATTCATCTATTTCCTTTTTATCTGCAAAAGAAGTTTCTTCTGAATTACAATAATGCTCAAAGATGGAAGTCTCTTGAATGAAATTTTATTCTTGTGATATGTTTTTGTGCATTTCAGACAAGTGACATCTCTTTCCACCAATGCTAGGGGGTGAACAGAATAGTAGGGGAGATGGACAGCACGAGGGAGAATCATGTGTATGCTCCATGAAAATGTCTCTATCTTCATAAAGCATTTCAAACTTTGTTTCAGAAGAAATCTGTCTATATTTTATTTTTGACATGTAAATTAGAAAGTTAATTTCTTAAGCGATGTGTTTTAGGAAGACAGATCCAGAAATTTTGCAGATTTTCAACTGCACTAGAAGAAAATCATGTATTATATTCTTCAAATTTTCTGCTATTAGCGAGACAAACAAATTTAATTTTTCTCTGAAGCAAAACCTCTTATCCATTTCCATCAATATACAGTCTGAAATTTCATAGTATCATGCTTGATAAATCTGAACACATTCAAATTCTGATAAGAATCTGTACTCTCTTGTGAGGTGCAAATTGTTTATTTTGCTGCCCTCTTTAATGATAGTAGACAAATGCTGTTGATTTTTTCTTTCTTTCAAACTCTGTTAGCCTTCATGCAGCTCGTTGCATGTATTTTGCAAATGTACATTCCCTCCTGAGATATGGCATAGTATTCTGGGGAAATGCATCAGGTAGTACTAAGACCTTTAGATTGCAAAACAAAATTAATTGAATAATGAACAAATGCCATCTGCGTAATCTTTCCAAGCGTCTCCATATTGAGATTGGAATCTTACCACTGCCTTGCTTATATATTTACGAATCTGTAATATTTGTCAAATGTGTTTTACCTAGCGGTGGAAACATATTTTCATGCAATACTGATATTTATAATTACAACACATGTCATAAAAACCATGTTCATCAAGTGTCAGTATCAACAGCTCACTTTCAGAAATCCACATACAATACATGTACGTTATTTTACAACGCATTGCCAGATGACATTAAACAATTGAAGTTGGTTTAAGATAAAAGTAAAATCTTTTCTGCTGCATAACTATTTATATAACATTATGATACTATACTATTATCAAAAAAGAAAATGTATGTTTATCTTTAACCAAAAATGATATATATAATATATATATATATATATATATATATACTATATAATATATATATATATATATATATAATATATATATATATATTATTAATATATTTTGCAATGAGTTAAAATTTATTGTATACCGATTTTTTAAAAAGACTTACATAGATGAACAAATAAGTACTTCAATCCGCGTGTCAATAACCCATCTTCAATCAGGTTTTTGACCAGTTTCCCTGATCCATTGAGCAAATGCTTTCTAAAGGTGACCCCTTGTCTTGCTTCTGGATGTAAATGTAGCTTCACTATGTGCATGTTTTGTTGAATTCTCCTTTTGCTTGTAATAGCAGGAGTAGAAGATAGGGCGAGTTACTATTTTGTTACCAATGAAGAAAAATTCTACTTTAAATTTATTTACTGATGCAAATAAGTTTTCTATAACTCAGGAATGAAAATGTCAATTTTTTTCAAATATTGCTAACCTGATGCTTTAAAAAAATTTAAAAATAATTTTTTTTAAACTTTTACTCATCTTTCAACTATTTATAGTTAAAATGATGGGAAGGGATTCTGGAACTCAAGAAAACGTGTGCAGATGATCTTTTCCCCCATTCATCACATACAGTTTTTTTGACTAAATAAATCTCAATCTAAATCTTTTGTTTTGGTTTTTAGTATACGTCAAATAGTTTGTATCTTTAATATATGGAAGTTTCAATGATCTCCTTTGAAAATCACTAAATAGAATATCTGTCAAAATGTGTTTTGAAATACTAATATCAGAAATGTGAAATAAAAACTGTGGTGAGAAGCAAGCTGAATAGATTGACTGTCATTATTCAGAGCAAACTGTGGTTCGAAAACGTCTTTGAACAAAACTGCTTTTCTCAGCTCTCAACAACTACAATTAATTAGAATTGTTTATGCTAATCAAGATAAAAAATAATTAAAAAGTTTTGGGGAAAAAATTGATAAAAAAAGAAAAAAATTCCCTATATTTAATGCAATAAAAAAATCAATCTAAGTTCAGCAGTGAATTAATCTGGTTGGAGAAAATGAGATGAACATGACATTTCAAGGCTATTAATTGATTTATAATTTAGAACTAATTTATATCCAATAATCAAATATTGTTAGAACATATTAAAGGGTATTAACATGATACTACAAGATGGGAGAGAACAGCAACAAAGTGAAACAATTGGGACAAGAGACAATCAGTTAAAAGTTATTATTGAGGTCAGAAAAAAATTGGCAGATCGATGCCTGCCATGGTGAGGCGCAGACATGCACGGAGATTGGCAAAATTTAGGCATGTAGATGGAAAAGAGCTGATAATGTAAAATGAACGGTTTTGTGTAATCAAAATGGATTTTAATTTAAAAACTGATATGTGAGAGAGAGCTCTAGATAATAAATCTTACTGTAGTTCAAATGGGAAAAATGGGATATTAAAACATCATTGGTGTAGAACTAGAAGAATGGTTTGTGCTATAACAATAAACTCGTGTTCAAGGATCCATGATGACGAGGGCCAATATTGCAGATATAACTTCAAAAGGAAACATATGTCAGGAAACATAAAAAACTCTCAATGTCAATATTCAAGGTAAAAAATGTCACAAAGTTTTTAGTCAATTAGTAAATAAATTAAGGAGTCAATTAGCAAATGGTCTTATTAGAAAGATTTTCAATTTTAATAACAGCATGAATCTGAGCACATTTGATTGATAAGAATTGTGAATATTTGTTTGAAAGTGAGGAAGTTGTATTTGTTTATGTAATTTCATAAAGTTATTTACTGTAAATATTATTTGTTTTATGAATTAAAAAAATCAATTTTAAAAATATTTTCTAATTAAATAACAGTAGGCAGTATTGCACTATTGCTACAAGTTAAATTTATGTGTTTATTTCAAAATAATATTTAAGATCTGGCTAACAATCTAAATTTCCTTAATGTAATTAATTCTATTGGTTGAATTTTCAGGCGAGCAATGGATTTTCTGGTTCAGAAATTGAAAGTATGTATAATAATGTAGCCCTGAGATCATAATATAGCGAGAACAGATTAATAGTATTGTGGTAAATAAAAATTATAAACTAAGCTATAGCAACATAGAGTTTGATTGAAACATGACATTAAATTAAAGAGGGCATTGGTTGTTACAAATTAATTAAAGAGAATATATTGAGAGGGATATTTAAATATAAATGGTGTGAGATATATTAAAAAAAACATTTGAGTAATTAATAAAAAGAAAAGAATACATAAAAGTGGAACGGATGTCATATTGCTTAGTTTATTTAACACTGTTTGTTCAAAAAATTTAAAGAAAATATTGGACCCGTTTTCTTGAAGATGTGGGTCGAGCATTTCAGAAAATGCGGAATTTCGAACTCATTTTCACAGAAATCTTATGTTTTCGAAAAACTTCGTAATCACTTTGAAGAACATGTATTCCATAAATCTTTGTACATTATTGGAGTAATACCCGTGTGTGCGTATATGCGTTAGTACGGTTCCGTCGCTCACGGTTAGACCACTTCCCGTCCACCAATTCATTCGACACGTCTCACTCTCCTGGTGGGGAACGCATAATTTGTTTTTCGAATTCAGGCAGAATATTCTAAGAAATTAACAAAAAACGTGCTTTTGCTTGGTTTAGCGCTGTGATCTTAGTGGGTAGACGAAGAATTAAACCAATACCACCTAATAAATCTACATAGGTGGTATTGACTAAACCCAGTACTACTCCGTGGTTATTTTCAGTCCACACCATAATTTTCTTCCATAAGAATGGCAACACTGTTGACAAACAAGCAATTTCAAATCGCGCGGCAGAATTCGTTGTGAAAGTGTGAAGTATTTCATGGGCATTTCTTATAATAAATTTGCAAATTATCTTGGAACGTTGAATTTGGAGAATATGAAGTGAATACGAAGAAAACCGGAGCTGTAAGTAATACCAGGGAATACATTTCTTAAGTGTGCAAAGATCAATTTCCAATTTAAAGTGACTTATAACTTATTCACCTTTTTCACATAAACACACAAAAGAGTACTATTTTAATGCTTGAACGAGTATATGTTTGCCTTCAGAATACAAATCAGACTGTGTTGTGGAGTTTTAAAATCGCAAAAAATTAGGGAACAAAAATATGAAAGTGTTAAGTAACTCAGGGGAATCAAAGTAGTAGTAAAAGATTTTGCGACGGATTTTTCCGAACTACTGTAGTTGAGAATGATCTTATATTAGCAGAACGCTGAAGAACAGCTTACAGGTGATCACTTGTGTTCATATTAGAAAACAAAACTATAGTTGTACTAAATTCTAACTATTCGCGTCATTCATACTTGCCAATTAATTTTTTTTTTACCGCGATTATAATTTTGAAATTGCAATCTTACCAGTTCCTATCTCGTATGGAGGTAATATTCAAGGTCATTGGGTGTTGGGAATTTTTGAACGGGAGTATAGCATTAACAGCTCGACTTATTGATAAGTACTACAAGAATATATTTGAACAAAGCTAGGCATGCAAGAAATGAAGTATGAAAGAAATGTTCAACACATGAAAATACGTTTATAACAGTTTACAGTGTCGGCGACGCTACATTAATTAATAGTTCAATAACGTATTCAAATCGCCGGTAATGTAAGTGTGAACGACGCGAGTGAGATGTCAAAATAATTACAATATTGTGAAAAGTTTTGAAAATACAAAGAATAGAATAACATGACAATTTGTGCCATGTATTACATAACGTTTAACGGTAACCCTACCAAAAGTTTTGAGAAAACAAATAGAGCCATTTTGAGAAATTCTTGTTTTAGATATTTTTTTAATATTCCACATATGTTACTCAATATTACGCGGAAAATTCATGGATTCAAAAAATGTACATGACAATGAAAAAACTGATTATGGAGGACAAATTTATTTTAAAGGAAAAAATGTACTTCAATTTTATAGATAAAGAAAGAAAAAATCCAAACATTTGCAGTTTTCAAAAATTTAGAGTTAAACGAGAAATATGATATTTTCCACCTTTCTAAGTGATACAACCGAATATGAGACCTGCACCACTTAAACGTCGCTGTCAATATCTAACAACAAAATTTAATCAAACAATTTCAAGCTATTTTTTTAAAAACAAATGTTCAGATAACATTGACAAATGTCCAATGAGCAAGATTGACATGGGTTTCTTCAATTTGGAAAAATCCTACGCATCGTTTAGTCGCTAGTAAATGTTCACAGACGCCAGACGGACGGATGGACGTTTAAAAACAAAACAACACTTTCGGTATTAGGGGACCCTAAAACGTGTAATTCCGTCGAAGACTCGAAATCGATTTTCGATCGACATAACTTTTCCTACACTACGTATATTACTTCGTATGTACGTACGTATACGGGAAAGTAACTAGTGGTGCTACAGAATGGCACAGACTTTCCCGTATTAGTCCTGTATTATGTCTTCAGTGATAAATGTAACTGTTGAAAATAACAAATTACGATAACTTCATCATTTTTATGAGGATTTATATACTAGTACTTGAATGCCTTCAGGGCTCCTTGATACGAGGAACGTAAACAGTTCCTGAAAATTCCCACCTAATTTATTGAGTCAATTATAGCATTTCATGGTGACTGCAAAATGCTAATTTTTGCTTAATTAAGTAGAGTACTGTGTCTATATCTAAACATAGGAAATATCTTTTGAAACGTTCTATATTTTCATTGAACATTAGCACAGTATAGAGTATAGCATTTCTCTCCAGGGCTTCTGCAACTGAATTTCGGTTTCTTTCAAAAGTTTTCAAATTAACCCAGCATTGTATATGATATGCCGAATCTGGATGTTTGTGCAACGATCGTGTTTTACAGCCATAAGAATCCCTTAAACCATTGTAGCGACACGGCAAAGACAGCGTCGGAGACATGTCTCAATGCAGCGCGTGGAGGAAGAAATGACGTGGGAGGTCATGTGACTCGCGCCTATATAACGTCGCGTCGCGATGGCGCGGGTGGGTAACAACTCTGGTTTCCTCGCGGGAAGTCCACAAAACTTTGTCCGCCCAGGCCGGTGCGGAGTGCGATGGCACATGGCGGTTCGATGTGGTCGGACCAGGCGACGTGTTCCTCGAACACTGTGAGGCAGATAGTCGATCTGCCGGGGCACACCAGGTGCCAAATTGCGAGGCGGCCTAGCTGGCCTGTCGCAGGCGCCGCCGCAAGGCGCATGTAGGGAGAGGGGGGCTGCAGTGGTCGCACTGACAAACCGCCTTATGAGTGAGGTTTTGTATATATGTACATCTATGTAAATAAACTTCTGTATATTCTCACTCTAGTCTGTTTTCCTTGTGGCGTAGATCTCTACCCACGACGTTACACCATGATCGTTTGAAACTCGCGTTGGAATAATTTTCTGGACGATTAACTCCTTTCTAACCAGATATTTAGAGAGATTCAATAATCTTGACGTAATGTAGCGTTTCTAATAAAATACACAATGTGTCATACATATGAATACATATTTGAAGCTGTTTAATTTACAGGATACAAGGATGTGATGTCTAACACAGCGTATGATTTCATTCACTTCTAATTCCCAAAAACAATAATTATATACAATAAAAACTTTAACATCAGCAAGATAAGAGAAACAATAAGGGATATCTTCCCGTCCAACGTCGTCGTGGGATTGATAAGCCGTCGAAACGCGGTGCCGGCGGAGCAGGCTGACGGAAGGCCACAGCCAGCGCGATGCGGCGAGCCGCTTTGCCCGCCGCGCCGGGGGCCGCTGAGCAAGGTGCAACCCTCGTCTCGAGCCAGGCGGACCGGGTTCCGTCCTTGTCAGCCCCTCTCGTAGTGAACCCCGAACGAGGCCGGGTGCAGGTCACGCCACGAACAAGAAAAAAACAACAAAAGGAATTGGGCAATTTTTGAGAACATGTTGAAAACGTCCCGGGGATTTCATGTAAAGTATTCCCAAATTTTAAAGAATGTTTTTGAAAATCGCAGAGCTTTGAGTCGAGCCAGGTCGACTGGCGGAAATCCATTTTGAAATATATCCTACCTATGGTTTAGGCGCTAGTGGTGTTCGCGGACGGACGGACAGACAGACAGACAGACAGACAGATGGTCGGACGTTTTGTAAAAAAGCAAACACTTTTTCTCGATCGATCTCGATTTTTCGAATCTCGAAATCGATTTTCCGCAGCATTACATAACTTTCTCTATACTACGTATATTACTCCATGTATTACTCCGTATACGGGAAAGTAAAAATAATGATTTTTTCCTGGACCGGACATTTAGCGAGAGACCTTTTTGATATTAGCGCTATGTTGGAAAGATAAATAGGTCAAGTTCAAGAGTCGTCTGCAGCGCTCTCCTGCGGTGAGGTAGGCAACTACGTGGAGGGTCGATTTCAGTATCTTATTCGTACCATCGAATCCCTCTGATCGTAAGAACAGTTGCAATGTACGTTGCGCTCACAGGGAGGTTCTAAAGACCATGGCGGGTTTTCGACACCAACTAGATAACTAAGTGATTTCGCTCACTGTGTGGAAGAGAATTCTAGCGGTTGGCTGGTGTGATCAGAAGTTTCCCGTGATTTCTCCGACCAATATCAGACGAATACTGAAGCTGTACGTCAACAAACGGACTATGGACTGAGCACGCTTTCCTTGCCGGTCTCTATTCCTTCCTTTCCATTCTCACACACACACATTTACGTGCGCTACACCTCCTTAAAAAGCAGGAGATCTTTCGAGAGAAGAGCTTACCCTGGCTGGCGTATTGCCCCGCAGCGGTGATATCTATAAGGGAAATCTTTCGTATGCGGACGAGTAGGTAGGGCGAAACACCGCCACCTACCGCGGTGTAATAATCACTTCACTTCCGGGGTAATAGCCACAACCGTTGTCGCGTCCAGAAACATCAATCAATGAGATCAAAGAACCATGCACTGGAAGAAGGCAAATATTCCCTGGCTTCGATCCTTTAATTGATCAATTTTCTGAGTACAGAATCTGCTATGGTCGTGAGTGAGGCGAATGCTTTAAACGTGGGAGGTCGGTAGCTGTGACTCAGCGGGCTGGCGGCGCGTGGCCGGAGCGGCAAGGGGAGGGGCGGGGGCCGCGGCATGGCGGAGGGGGGCAAGGCGGTGCGGTGCATGGAAGGAGCG